TTGAGTTATTATTAATTCAATATTTTATTCATTCAATTGATTGAAACAATTTTCTTAATATCTATCGAGTGATCAATGAATTTGTATTAATCTCGAAATTAATTTCTGATTAAAAATCTTATCTATATTTTTGGTTTCGATTAGAGAAAAATATTATGATTTAATTTGAATTTAATTAACACAAAAATCCATTATTTATTGTTAATTACGGAAAGGATTATGTATTTTTAATTTCATTGAAAAATCCATTAATTTTTGCGTTGATTTCGAAAATTATTTAATAAATATTTTATTTTCTAAAAAATTAATCAAAACATTCATTACTTTACAATTACAGCCAACTTTTCACCACTGGTTTTATCGATCGGAATCATAATCTGCGGAATTGTTTTCATAATCGCCTCAACAATAATTATAATCCTATGGTTTAGGCATAAGATTAGATTCTCAGACCTGAAAATAGGTCAGACCTTATCGGTTGACATAAACAATGGAAAGACAAACCCTATGGCCATCGGTTCGGGCAGTTCTGGCAGTTCCCGCACCGACTCCGACATCAAGATGGAGGTCAGAACCGCCAGCTCTCTGTCCCAACAGTGGGACGACACCGACCAACAGTCCAATGGACACAATGAGCCCAAAGATATTACACAAGTGTTGAATAATATTTATAACAAAACAAACAGTTCTTCACAGGCTTTTGTCTTTCCAAGCGTTCAGGTAATTATTGCCACTATCTTTGCTTTTAATTATTTAAATCCCAAAATACACATTCATATACTCTCACTAATTTGCAAACCCTATGAAAAGTGGCTATTTTTGTCATTTGGATTCCTATACTTTTGTATTGTATATTATAGATAAGAAAAAATATATAACAAATATTAATTGAATGATTGTTTTGTGAACACAGAATGGAAACGGTTTTATCCCGACTTATGTGGACTACAGCCACGACTACCTTCTGGTGCCGTCAGCACAACTGCCATCCAATCACAACAGCCTATCGCCAAACCATACCCAACACGCGTCCATTATTATCTCATCCGTAGACAACCAAAGGGCCAGTTATGCAATAGAGCCCACGTATGGCACACTCCTGGCCGGTGACCAGAGGTACCGACCGGTCGGTTACGCCAATCCATACCTCAGGACATCTAATTCATCATCAGTTGTGACAACAAATAGTGATATAAATAACACAAACAATCAATTGTCTGCCGGAATGTATTCCGCGAACCAAATGTATATCACAAACGGCGGACACAACGGCCAGACGTCGGCCAACAACCAATTGGCTACACATGTCTAACCGCATACCTGTGCTATAGTTTTAGGCAATTAATACACTAATCGTTTATTGTTTTGATGCCATAATTATAAATAATTTTTTTAATTCTTTGCTTAACTTAACGTTTGTATTAATATATTTACAATCATTTCGGAAGCGTTTTAATTGTATTTGAATTTTATAATAATGTGTTTGAATTTTTACAACATTTTCATTTAAACATAGTATTTGTGAATTAATTTAAAACAAAAACAAAACAAATTTACAAACTTATAGTTTACAAAAGTATAAGAATTTTGATGAATTTATAATAATTTCTGTAATAATTAAGTCATAATAATTGCTCAGAAAAACAAATAACAAACTTAAATAAAAAGCGCATAAATTCTTAATAATTAAGAAATAAATATCAAAATATATACCAAAACCCACGGATGCCTTAGTTGTTATATAAATCTCGATTAATTTGTACAAAATATTGTAAATAATTTTTTAACATTTATCTAATTGTAAAATATATTCAAAGTAGTCATTCATTTCATATTAAATGTATTTTTAAGCAACATTTATTTCAATTATAAATAAAACATTTTAATTATTAAATCTTTGTATTTTTAATTATTTATATAACTAAGAAAATTAAATCTACTTATAAAATAACGAGTCTCAGGATCTGAATTACAAACATCACACAGTTAACCTGGGTAAAATTACCACAATTATATTTACATTTTTAATTATCAATACTATTAAAATGTTGTGTTTTGATGATTCGACAAAATAATGTCTTATCAAAATTATCTAGCTTGCTAAAACCAGGTTTTAATACCATAATGATACAGGTATGTAATAAATTTACTAAAATAATTTTAATGTGATATAATTAATAAGTAAAAAGACCATCATCTTTACAACATTCACTCTATCAATGGATTATGAGTTAACGTAATGTTTATCTGAAAAGTAAAGATAGTTTAGACATATTATAAATCAATTGCCAAATCCTATACTAATGTCCAGTAATTATCCACACATTTTGTTCGTTAACAGAATGTGTTTGATATCCCAAGAAATGGACCAAATATGTCATCATATCATTAATCCCTATGTTTTCAATCGATTTGTTAATCAAAAAAGCAAATCAATTGAGATTTAATTACATAAGTTTTATTGATATTTGTAACTAAAGTTCAGCCAGACTATAGGTTTCAAACAATTTTATCAAGTTTGTTAATCAATTAATTATTCCAGTATCTATGTTTTAATCATGCATTTCAAACTTATGTATTTTGAATCTTCATGGATTATATTTTTATATAAACCAATATTTTTCTATTTATGTTGGCTTTAAATTATTATTAAAGAATATTTGTAAATATGTATATTAAATATAACACAGTTTCCAAACCTATGATTACTTAATTGAAAATAATTATGATTTAAAACTATATTACAAAAACAAAACAATTTCTTAAAGTTTAACATGTTTTCTAATAAACATAATTTGCAAATATTTCCCAATACTTATCATATATGCTATCAATATATTATGCATTTGATACCCAATTATCATAGAAATTAGTGAAATATATATTATATTCATTTAATTTCCTAATTGTTGAGTAACTAATGGATAATAATTATTATTTTCTTATCACTTGAATCAATAAACTTAATAAAAAATACTTATAAAATAAAACAAAATATAAGTTTCAGTTTAATTAAAAATGTTTTTATTAATTAATATAAAATTCAATTCAATATATTTTATACATTCAAATATCAAATAACATTACATTATATATAATACAAAAAAGTTTTCTTATAGCGTTTACTTTACAATATTATTATTATTATAATATTTTTATACAAATTATATTTAACAGTAGTTATTAAAGGCAACGAATAGTTTTTATTTTCTTGTTTGTAAATTTAGTAGTTTTTAAAATCAAACAATTTTAGTGTTTAATTTTGATATTCAGTTATAACTTATGAGAAGTTTTTCTTTTTAATTATTTATAAATTATAA